CACTCTGGACACAGAGCTCACGGTCAACACAACAGAAACGTCATCTGCAGTGGTCCACACTGTGCTTAGACGCTGGGGACATAATCGGAAATGACACAGGCTCCAGAGATGCCCCAGGCATCCTAAACCTTACTCATCTCACCCGCCCCATCTCCTGGAGGAGCCGCCGAGACAGTCAGCGGCATGTTCTCATGGTCGGGGGGCCTGACAAGGCTGGGAGTCCTCAAGCTACCCCTGCCTCCTTGACCTCCTTCCCACTCATCTCGTATCCCACATCCCCTTGCTGGCTACCATCTCTACTCTGGTCCAAACTCTCGTCTCTCCGCTCTGAATTACCACAACCCTCTCTCAGCCAATCCACTCTCTAGATGCTATCACACCATTTCCCTCTCCACCCTTCTACATTTTTTTCTCAGGGAAGTTCTCTCTTCAAAAGCCTTTAACAAAGACAGTGTAGTCTCTGACCACCGAGCCCAAACGCTGCCGACCTGCTTTAAGTATGGCGGGGTTTCTCTGTGCTAGTGACATCTCGGGCCAGGTAACTCTTTGTTGTGGGGCTGTCCTGTGCCCTAGGTGTGTACAGCAGCTCCCTGGTCTCTACCCATTAGGTACCATTAGCATCCTCCGCCCTAACTGTGACAACCAAAAAATGCCTCCAGGTACTACCACATGTCCCCTGGGGGCCACATCACCTGGTAGAGCACCACTCCTTTTAAGGGTGTCCTGACCCCATCCTGCCTATCCTACTAATTGCTCAGTGTCCTCCCAACACACTCCAGACTCCATAAGCAAAGGGGGACCTTCTCCCAGTTTAGTGAGGCCACATCAAGTTCAGTCTCAACTTTTCATCTTCATGTATGGTATCCAACCAGCCCTTCCATCTACTCATCTCTCATCCCTCCTTTGTAGTATTACTGCCAGCCCCTCCATAGGGTCCTTCACCCACCTATTTGTTCCCTCTCCCTACCTCTTATCTCCTCATACAACACATACCCCTCCTCTACGAGTTTTTAGGGACTTACAGGTGTGGGTACTGGTCCTCCCAGGTCTCACCAATGGTGGGAAGAGACAAAGGAGGGTAGGACTCATCAGACCCTCTCCAAGGTGCTGGCCCCCTGCAGCAGGAAGCCCGTAAAGAAATTCAGGGTGGAAGTTTGGGATGGGGTCCAAGGTTAGAGCTGAAGTGCTGGGCAGAGTTGTCATCTGGGAGTCGCCAGAGGCTGGGAAAGGCTGACAAGGTGGAGCATTAGGCAAGAGGGCCTGGAGTTCGGGAAAGGGAATCCAGCATGAGGGCATAAAGGCAGGGGTTCATTCAGGGCACTTAGGAAAGAACAGAGCTGCTCTAACCCGGGGGTCAGAGCCAAACGACCAGCGGCCAGGCTGGAGCCACACAGGCTTATGGACACTGACACAGAAGTCTGAACAGCCCCTGCGCCTGGAAGGAGTTCCAGGCAGGAGCTTTCCAAATAAAGACTTGGTGGTGTTCGATGAGTAAGGTGGGGAGAGAGGTACGGAGGTTAGTCAAGTTCCTAAGGCCTTCACTTGCCATTTTACTGTAAAACAGCCCTGTTAGATATAAGGGTTATAACATCTGACCTTTAAAATTTTTTTTTTAAATTGACACATAAAAATCAAGTGTTTAATATAGAGCCCAAGAGGAGGTGAGTGGCGAAAAGTGGACTCAACTCTGATTTGTCTCCCAAGCACTT